AATTACAATCAATTAAAAATTAATTTAGATTTTCATAAACACCATAAACTTTTTTTCGAACGTAATAATTGTATACATGTGTATATATATATGTGTATATTTTCTGATGACTGTTATTGACTACTAAAGTTGCCGCACATAGAATCGGAACGGTATGAAATTAAACTTTTTCAGCACATTAAGTCGGAACAAATCGGAACTTCACGCCCCACGGCCATCTAGATTTTGTGCACTTTTCTCTATCCGCTTGTGATAAATGTATACATAATCATTTGTTAACATTTAATATTAAGCAGTTAGCTGACCTACGTTCATATTTTCTTTTCTATATTGGTTTGTATTGTATAAATTATATATATACATAAACATTTATTACGAGTGAAACGAGTATTGATGAAAAAAATATTATTTTGACGTTTGATTTCTTAGTAGAAAAAGAAGGAAAGGAAAACGCTGCAAAAAAAAAACAACACTGTGGGTTCATAACATTAATTTGGCAAATGAAAAATTAGGAAAATTTCAGACATTATTCCTGCATTTCAAAAAGGATAGTAAAATATTGTTTCCAATATTCCAATATTGAATCATATGTAAACATGGATATTTTAGAACTTTACAGTTATTTTTTTGTCCAACATTTTAAAGAAAAAGTCAATTGAAAAATAGAAAAAAACCAACTTAAGAAACTAAGTAAATTAGTGACTAGATTGAACTAGTACGTGCATTTAGGTGCTAATACGCATGCACTCACGTTCGGAATGCTTCAGAATCTGTCAAAACATTCTCAACAAACAATTCGGTTCTCATTCGTTTCCAATCCGGTGTGCCATAACTATTACACACGAGTTGCTATTATTATAGCTGAACAAGATTGTTAAAATAAAATATACAATTTTAAATTTGCATATGAAAAATACATAAAATAATGCACAGTTTCTATAGTTGAAATGTATTAGTTTTTAACGTTTCCAACTGTTTTAAAACCAATACACGTTTTTGGTTTATAATGAGAACAATGAAACGATGTAATTATTTTACAAAAGTTAATAGGTACTGAATTTCTATAGGCGATAAAATGAAAAACTAAATGAATAATATTATAACTGTTATATGTTAACTGTTTTCGATAATGTTTTCAACATACTTTGTAGTCACGTAACTACATTTCTTTACATATTCGACGAGTAAAAATTAAACTAACGATAAAACTCGTGCAGTTTAAAATAACAACGAGCACGGGACCAACATTATAAATAACGGTTGGAAATAAAAGTAGTAAGTATTTCCGCAACGGGAAAAAATGAAAAAGCGAAAACTACAAAAAGAGTACAAAACAATAGCGTACGACTGAAGACATGCCCGAAAAAGGAAATATTCCAATAAATATAACGAGTAGCTAAAGTATTTTTTTACAAACGTAGGTATTTCGCTCATAAATTTCACCTATAACACAGTTATTCAAATTCATCTGCAAATCCATATCATTGGTAGAAAAAATATTCTATTTACAGAATATACTAAATATGCATTTATTGATGTATTTAAAAAAATAATTCGTTAGTTCTTGATCGAACCGAAGAAAATAATATGTGCTGATTGTGCAATGTTATGCACACTAGTTTTTTTTTTTAATAAACACTATAATATATAGTATTAAAATAAAGTAGTACAAAAGTTTCATAAATGAATCGATGGGTTGGCCGCCGACCCATTGTTCAGTAGAACGCAATCGGCACTTAAGGGAATTCATTTTTCAATATTCATCTTCGTGATTTATAATTGCTAATAATCAAACAAGCTCCGATAGCGATTAAATACAAAAGGTATCGCTTTTCACGGATTTTCTGTTTTTTTCCCGGATAAATCAAGTGTTTGACGTGGTTTTTCGAGTGCACCAATCTGTGAAATGATTTTACGTTCAAATACGAAATAATACGACGATAATGCGTTACCGACTCGACCGAAACGAGACGAATATGGTCCGGTACGTCTTCGTACCTTTTCTATACGTTTAAGCTATACGGTTCCAACGAAATGAAATCAAAAATATGTCAGTTGTTTAATTTTATACTTTTTTACATCTCGTGCATGCCATTCGTGATGTGACGCAAATCGCTTAGAGCGTGACGTTGAAAAATATGACATAGGACTCTTCCGTATAACAAGTATTATAAACTAAACAACTTTTACATATAGATAAGCATTTTTGCAACTATTTAATAATATACAAAAGGAATTTTTCAACGTGATATGACTTGCTCATAAAACATACAACCTAACTAAACGTTTTTGCAATACTTTCATCCCGAAATCCACCTCGTTGATGTGATTGAACATAGTATAATGTAGTTTTCGTCATAAATTCTTTGTTTTCAACTTTCATTTCATGCATGCGTTTCTACTGGTTATGCGTATCAATTCAACAGTGTATTAAAAACTTCTTTTTACTATAACAGCTAATAATATATACGCTATAATCGTACAACCCGTTACGTTCACCGACTCTAACACCACGATCCCTTCCCCTTCGCTTGTCCATCCGTTTCCGAATAATTTCGTCGAGTATTTTATTAAAATATGGTTTCCTTCCCTCCTCCCTGCGCACACTTGTTATTCTGACCAAATATGTTTTTCGTACATAAACATCAAAATAGAATCATCGTTTACGATCCGAACATTCGAAATTTACGATTCGAAATTCCGTACAAGTTTTTGCGGACAAGTTGAGGAGGGACGAAAAAAAAAAACCTGAGGAGAAAATATATTATCGTCTGACAAGTGCGCCCAAACAGAATATAATCTAAACGAGAAACACTATCGCGAGTCCGATGACCTTCGTCCGCCGGGCTAGATTGTGTGCGCTCGTTACTTACGGTTTTTACGACCTTCGAATCGATTCCCGGCGCTTTTATTTCGGCTCCTCGGTGTCATGGACAGTATACCGTCCGGAAGTTATTAAAACCCGAACGTCGACGATCGCCCCAACCATGTGGTACGCACGTGTTGCAGTGACAACAATCAATCGAATCGCCGGCCGATGGTGTAGGAAAGGAAGTTACCGGACGATTTTGAACGATTATCGCCATCGTCGATCGTAATCCGATCGGTCGGTGAAAGACCGACGTCTATGGACCGACCGGACGTACCATAAATAATGCGCTTGTATGGAACACGGTAATCTCAATTGATTCCATACGGTTCTACGTCCCTTTGCAGAAACACCGCCGCGTACTCGGAATCCGTTACGCCGTAGGTGGTGTTATCGATTCCATAACTCCCGAGACCATCTCAAACCGCTCATTCGGTCATTCGAATTAAATAATGATAAAGGTGATGCAACTCAAATGTAACTAGATAAAGGTAAAAGATAACTTGATTCGTATTATAACTAGATAAAGACAAACACATTTTCGTTTTGATAAAAAAAAAAATGATACATTTTTTGTTTAAATATTTTTAAATTATTGCAAATCTTAAGGGGCACTGCATAGTTTTTCCGTGAAATCACTCCATTTCGAGCACTATACACTGTAGATTTTTTTTTTTTTTTTGTAGAGTTATTCTAGCTAGTGCTGTCTACGCTTAGTCTAGGTAATGTACACCTAGAGAACTCTATCAGTTGCTTTTCTAAACTCTTGCTAGACCAACAAACTCTTGATAAAGTAAACAATTATAAACAATGTACACAGAGATATGATATTCTCGATGGTTATCAAAACCGTACACTTACCGTTCATAACCGCACATTTTACATCGTTCAATACCGCTCATATTTATTCTATTATTAAAAGGGGAAATTTGAAAAGTCGGTAATTCAAAACCGCACACATTTGGTTAACAGTTCCTTTCTCTCTGCACACTTTGCATACACAGTTCACGTTACCGGTTTCGTATGAGTCCAACACAAAATCTTTTTTTTATCCTGGACCTACTTGGGGTGATGTTACATAGCAAATCGTGGGATATATTCGTTTTTAACTGTCTGAACGAGCGAGTGACCCCGTTCGGACTTGAGATGCACTCATGTTATTTTAGATAAATGTATACGTGATTGATATATATATATATATATACATATATATATATATATATATATATATATATATATATATATATATATACAGTCGAGTCGCGATAACTCGAAAAACTTAACAACTTGAATTGTGTTTTATTCCCCTGGAAAATTCTTCTAAAAATTAGTTATATCTCGAATAATACATATCTCCAAGTGAATTATTATCTCACTTCAACTTTGAGTTATTACAACTCGACTGTATGTATAAATTTGTGCGGTATTGAACGGTTTAATTTGACGAAAATATGTGGGATTAAGATATAAAAGTGTGCGGTATTAAACGAATACCTGTTTTTGAAAGTGTGCGGTTATGAACGACGCCCAATATTCTAGCTAGAGTAGTCTAGCTCTATTAAACATGCTAAATATACTAAAAAGAGTACAAATAGAGTGCAGGAAAATAACATAGCAATAATGTACCTATAAGATGATAATCAATGTTGATAATATACTATTATACAACACAACAAACAGTTGTTTTCACTATTTTCATAACCTAAATATAACTAAATATTATGTTAAAAGTTCATAAGTTATAAATTATATTGTCGAATATTTTTTCTACGATGAGTGATTTTGTGTGGTACAGTTCTGTGAAGAACAGCTGAAACGGTGAACACAGCACTGTTAATGCTCAACAGATGGTCATCGGACTGCGATCAAACCGTCGGACTAAATAAACTACACGCTTATCATTAATGGAACATTCGGTACGAGACGTCTGAAATTGTGTAAAATTGTATGAAAACGATAAACAAAAACACATTGACCCCTTAACATTCTTTGGACGTGATCGACAATTGCCTACAGTCATTATTATTAGTCTGTTCCCGGGATATACGTCTCATCACTGTTGAAATACGATTATATTTTAATATTTGCTTTGAAGAGGTTTGATTTTTTCACTGACATTTATTTTTTTCAGGTCGAATTCAATCCACCGACGGCCATATTGTACACTATCGATTTTTTTCTACTTATTTTAAACGTAAGTATTTTATCACTGTACGTAAGTATTTGCATATGTAATATTAATATTTCAACTTTTATTAACGATAGATTGTATACTTTTAGCATTTAATAGTTCGCTCTGTGCGGTAAAACGACCATCTCGCTTGGTTGATAATCAAAATAATATGCTAAGTTAGCATTGCTAACATGAGGTGTAGGCGGTATAGTTTGTATGCGACTGGAAAGAAACTTTTATTTTTCAGTCCGTTCCGATGACAAATACATTTCGCTTAGAACATTTTACGTAATACGTAGATATATTCCGGCAGTGAGTTAAATATTCTACGACTCTGTTCGATTTTCCTTCGTCATGCAATCACGGATATTCGAGCATGGCATTTGTATAAGCTTATATGATGACGCAGCTTAGATGTACACTGCCGATCACCCTCGGACCTTATAATAGATTCTCAACGCAATCGTGATAACCTGTGCCGCAACTACACTAATTTGGGCCCGTTTGTAAATAAAATCGAACGCCCTCCTTTGCCGACTGGACGCTGCGGAGAAATCGTAACTTTAATCAATTGTAACCAAACCGTTTTTAATTTCGGTTATACAGGCCGTAAAATAAACGCGATGTTTACAAAACAAAATCGATCAATTGAATCACGAGCCCGTGTGTTCAACACACGTAACCGCTCGGTTATTGGCGGCACTGGTGATAAATATTGTTTCTACAATGTCGTGTGTGTTTTTTTTTTTTTCTTTTTAATTAATTTATTGGTTATCGCGTGTAAACGCTTTTTCTGGTAGAAATAACGCTTACTCGTGCGTAACGCTATGCCTGTTGACTGGCGTCAATTGAACTTGTGTAGTGTTTCGTGTAGATTGATTTTGGAATTTCTGTACAAGTGAGTACTAGAAAATGCAACGATTTTATAAACGTAATCGGGTTCTACGAAAACAATTTCGAATATTCGGTCGCACATCAGGAAACATCAACCCTTATACAACTTATATCGTTATTGGTTCTACGAGCTTCATTCAAAGCATTTTTTTTCCTTTTTTTTAATTACCTTGAATAAATGTCACTGTTTGTATTATCGTATTACATACTTTCAATTTTTTTTTTTACTGTATTTCATTACATGGTAATTTCTCTTACCAACACCTACAAGTATTTAAATCATAAAAGACTAGTATTTTACCTTCGTTACAATAATATGTAAACAGCTATTATTTATTTTGTTCAATGCCGACTACTGAATTTATCCAAACAAATTAAATCCATAGAATTTTTCACACATTGCGAGATATTAAACAACTGTGTCTATGAGTTTGTTTTTAAGTGTTTTACTTTCATTTTCCCGTACAAAAATTAAATTTTTTTGTAGAAAAAAATATCGATCAAATATCGAAAAAAAAACTGTACTGATTTTCTGTATATTTAAATCATAATTAGCTATTCACATTTTATAAAAAAAAAAAACACTATTATCTCCAAAGTCAACTATTATTAATTTTTTTTAAATCGAAAAAAACCATTTCAAATTTATAGAATAAAAATAATTACAAAATGCATTTACTCCAGAAATCCAATTTATTATCAATGTAACGTCAAGATTTAATTAAAGTAATCTACAATGCATTTATCCTAATAAATTATTCATTTTTCAACGCTAATAAATTAATATCGTATTAATTATTTAACTTACACTAACAGTACTTTGATCATAAAATAATACCATGATACAAGAAGTCTAAAATCTAGTGATTATCTTATTTATTTTGTGTTATTTCATCAGTTTAATTTACTTGACTTATATAAAATATAGTTACTGTTAGATCTATTCAAACATTTTTATAATTTTATTTTAATTCTTCATACATAAAATAGGTTACAAATTATTTAATATTTTTTAACTTTAAATAATTTATAATGGTTTATTTATTTAGAGCTATTTTTAGAAGCAAGTTCTGTATGAAATAAATATAAAATATTAATTGATACCTAAATAATTTGATATTATTTAATATTTTTAATTTAATAAATATTTTTATTTAATATAATTAACGAAATTCAATTTCCTAGACATACTACGTATTAATTAATATTATTTTTATTACTTTTCATTAATGAAACTTGTCAGTAAATAAATGTTGAATAATATGTGCTTAATTTACAGTAATCGTTAAATTATAATATATATATATAGTTTTTATATATTAACGATCGAAAAAAATTAGCAGACAAATACTAATTATATGCTACATTAATTATACATTTATATTTATGAAAATCCTGACTATACAAATTTCAAACATTAATGATACTCTGATGGTTTGGAAACACAAAAAACTGTGTAAAAGGAGTAGCACCATCAAATTAATATATTTAAATCAATTATTATTGCGCTCTCTAAAAACGGTTTTAATTATATAATTCTTTTGATATAAGTATATACAACATTTACTTTAATTGTCCCATAAGACGAAAATTGTTAAAAAACGAAAACATTATTTATATAAAAATATATGTGTTCATTTTATCAGATTTTGAATTCAAAAAAATGTCAGGTCATCTGGATAATAAAACCTGGGTTAACCTACGGACTTTCTAAATGCCCATTCGATTTTCAGCCATATTCATATAATACACTCAATTTATGCAGAACACAATTATTACTTTCTTTAAAGACAAGAATAAATAAATTTTAAGAAATTATAATGTGTAACGTAGAAATAGTCTATCTAGGTTTTTCTGTGAAATTTAAAATTTACATTAATAAAACCATCGTATGCTTGAATAAATAGAAATAAATGAATATAAATAAAATATGTATTGTGCGATGCTAAAAAACAACTGCAGTGTCCGAGTGACAAATTACTGACTCAAAATAAATAAATTTAAAAATTTGACGTACGGCTATGAATGGTTAAATAAAGCAATTACTTCGTTTCGTGAGATAATTGATCATATTTAAGATCCGATGTTATAAGCACGTGGTTTTAAATGTATTTATATACTCACTACTGGTATCGTGTTATAATTTTAGAATAGCATATTATTTTATTGTTTGTTCTGAAAAAAGATATTTTTAATCAATGGTCGTCAACCGTTAATGCGTGAAGTATAAAAATATTGCGGTATATCCCGTTTGATGAATTATTCCGAATAAACCTCAATTCTCTACACTATACCCATACCCTTAATGCGTTTTAATTGACCGAAAAATAAAATTAATTTTCTCAGCGGAATAAATAAATGACGTTCTCTTCTCTGACTTTCTCTGACTTCATCTCGTACCCGGAACACTGATAATTAATGTCGTTTTTAAACCCTTCAACTATCGACGCTCCTCCAACGGCACATTATTATTACGGAAACACATTGTTTGATTATTGAATTATTGTACAGCAACGGACGCACCAGATACCCGATGGATGATTATTATTGATTGAAAGTGTTGAACGATTTATATTATTGCACGGTCTCGAAAGTATTTAATGCGATCATTCGATGTAAATCAAAATTACAACAAAACGCTCGAAAAGGAAACACGTAGCAATCGAACCGTGACCCATTCGGGTCATATTTTACACTTGTTTTTACGCCGACAGCATTACAGTAATGAAACGTTTAATCCAGAATCGCGTCTAGGTCAACAAATGCCCGAGCCGGGAGCGTGAATTACAATCGCAGGCGTACCTGAACTGTTTTACGTGCGGCGCTGTAACACAACCGACCGACACATGTATCGTATGTAATGGTGATATATATATATACATCTTTAAGTATACAACAGAAAACGGAAAGGTTTGTCTAGCAAACGCTTCGTGCTCGCGGAGTGCATGAGAGAAAAGGTTAGAGCCTTGAGCGCAGTTTACGCGATGCTAATTTACTTGCGACCAGTGAAACGTTATACTAGTCAACCGTTTCACTAACGCATGGTAAGACCGTTATTTCGTGTACACGATACCAACAGTCATCTATTGTACTAGCACTTTTGTATTACTATCATTGTTATTATTATAATTGACATTATTGTTATTATTGTCACATATGTGTTTTTAACTTCAGCCCGTTTTAATTACTGATAAATAAACAAACATCGTACTACCGAGGTATTGTACAAGCTACTAGTATAAAATAAACAACTTGTTTTACAGTCACACGATACTATTTTCACCTCCATTGATAAAATAGCACTCTGGTTCGTCAAATAGTTGATGTGTTTCAACTTGCACTAGCAAACTGGTATCATAGGAAAATTTCCTACCGATTTACTATCGTCGTTTTCAATTTAGACGATGCTTTTTTACTTGCAAATAGCGACCAGTTCCTTGTAAACTAGCATCGTGTAACACAAGCTTTAGAGTATAGGCAATGCTTTATTTGCCAGATAACTGCGTTGATATTGATCTACAAATCATAAAATATTTTAATTTTCCATTATTAGGTAATTTCTAATCTTTTGTGGACCTTTTTTGATGTTTTAAAATGGTTTTAAAATATTTTCCGCAAGTTATAAAAACAAGTTTGTTTTTAGCTGTCTTATTTTATACGATATTTATGCTTTTCCAAACGACCAATATCATAAAATGTAGATAAAATATACAAAAAGTAAATATATTTAAAATTATGTTTTTATTTTCTTCAAATATCGCATAATAGTATTACGAAACAACGTTGAAGGGTAAATAAGATTTAGAGACACATACCTAATATACATAGTAAAGGTAATATAAATAATGATATGCGACGACAGGTAAAGAATATTTGGTTTTATACGCTCGCCGTTCAAAACGCTACAGAAAATCAACACCCAACCGAGAGTAAATGAAATTACAGCGGCCTTAGGAAACTAACGATGTTCGGTATTTTCATATTCGGTTGAAAACGAACTTAGGAGAATCAACGGGAAAGTCGGTTTCGTTTTATGAACACGCTTAATATTATGTGTTTATGTAAACATATGTAATATTTTATTTACACTTACATTTCAAATCGTATCTAATACAGTAAGATTTGTT